GTCATGAACTCATTTCTTCAAAACCAACAACAACTCTTCAAAAAGATTTATCTCTAGTCAGGGCATCAGATAATTATGCTCCAGAGCCCTTGCTCCCATCTCTGTTTTCTTAAAGGTATATTATCATTTCCTTGCAAACAGGTGGCATTTAGAAGTTCAGAGATTTATTTTACTTTATGTTTCATTTGTATTGGTTGCTTGCTTGATTTAGGAGACCTCTTTGGAGGAAGAGTCGGTCAAGTTACAGTCAGGAAAATGGAAAACAAAGGGAATTTGACACAAGGAGTTAGATATATGAATGTTGGAAGACCAGTAGGGAAAAAAGGGACTCTTCGATAACCCGAAGACTGGTCTTAGAATTGGGGGAACAGATAAGAACCGTTTGTATATACAACTTCTCAGTACAGAGGTGGAACCACTGTGTGACTGTTATCGGGACTCCTCAGATGACACCACAATGTTGAGCTGTGATGGGAGAGCGAAGAGATGCCTAAGCCACAGCTACCTGCTGCTACTGGAGTATGACGACAAAAACTGGAAGCAGGAAGAGAGCTCGTTTTTCCTCATTAACTTTCTAGTCTCTCAACAATGTCTCTTTGGCAGAACATGGAGGACGAAGGTGTCTGGGAAATGTGTTTTATACCAGCTGCAAAATCACAGAAAGATTCAGAAGGGTGTCAAGTTTGGAAGTGAAACAAGTAAATGGCTGGTAAAAAGACATTACAGTTTTGGCTCCTTCAGAAAATGGTACAGGAGCTGTAAATGGGGCCACGGCTATTAGATTCTTGTATGACTTGTAAGCTTGTGGACTCCTGGTTTGGGGTAGGCCCCCCCCCCACCCCTTTTATCTCTTTAAGTTGTGCTTCTTCTCTTGGCCAATGTAACTAGAGTGGGCCATGCTAGAACTGTAGAGGGGAAGGGTAAGTACCCAGTAAGCTGAGGAGACAGAGTTCAGGGTTTGGTGAGGGTAATGAATGATGCTGTGGATAGACGATCAGATCCCAAACTTGTCTTTGCTTTGACACATTTTCACGCATACAATTTATACACATCAGAACTTTAAAATAGAGATGAGGGTGGTGGTTCTCTTCAAGGTGGTCACCCCTGACCTAATTCTATCAGCACTTTCCCTGATCAAAACATTCTTTAAATTCCACAGGGGAATTATCCTCAGAGCCTGTGACATATCTACATTTTTTTTTTTTAATGACGCTAAATCTTTACCTTTTTGAGAATGGACTCAATATTTTTAAATAGTCAAGAACTTTAAGTCTGAGAGTGGCTCACAGAGGTGGGTAAGACCACTTGTTTCAAGAAGGTGGTACTGAATCTTCTGCACAGACTATAATCCAAAAGCAGAATTCCTTAGATATTTATAGCAACAACAGCATGAATATGCTAAGTAGTGTCTTTGAAACTAAATCTCTTGAAGGGCAGCAGGCACTGAGGTATTAGTAATTTTAGCTAGAAAACATTAATCTTTAGCACCTCAAATTCTTTGGGAAAAATAAGAGGGGTGTTATATTTTGAAAAATAGTTTTTATTTCTTGGGATTGTAATTCCAAGGTATATTACTGAGTGCCAAGATCTGATCTAAGCCTAGTTCATTATGAAGGAAATAAACATTCCTTGTTGAAGGAGAAATTCAAGTACAGTCATTCCAAGAGCTCAGAGGAAAAAAAATGGATGCTGTCCTGGTGATGTTCAGCAGGCCAGAGTTTCTGACAGTGGGTGAGCTGCTGGAAGAAGATCAGATTCTGGCTTTGGAGAGCTAAAGAAAGGGCAAAACACTTTTCAACAGAACGGTTAAATTTCCACTTTACAGAGTAACTCAGCCACCCTGTTGTTTTGTTTTTAATATTCGGATAATCACATTTTCAAGTCCCTGTACCCCTGAATATGAGAACTCACTCTGTGAGGTCACTTGGGTCAGTCAAGGACTATCAATTTCTAATTCTCAGCCAGGAAGATGCGGTTTGGACTGTGGAACATGGAGAAAACATCCCCTAAGACCAAGGGATTCCCAGTTCTTGTTGGAGTCAGAGAGCAAAAAGCAGGTCACTATTTGAGTCAAATTATCTACAAAACAGACAATGAATAAATTAGCTATGCACTTTGAGCAAATGTTTTGAGAATTATACAGAGCCTCCTAACAGAAAACATCTTTTCTCTAAAAATAGAGATCTAAGATATACAAAAATATTTAGACCATATTATACTCATCAAATATCACATCTTTCTTAAGCCAATTCTCTTTGCTTTTGACTTTTCATTCAAAGTTCAGCCAAAAAAAAATTAGGTTGGGGGCCCTGGTGGTGCAGTGGGTTCAACACAGCACTGGGAAGCTAAAGCCATTTCCACATGAGTTCGATCCCCACCCGCCCAGGAAGTGATGCACATGGCACAGCAGACTTCTGACCAGCCCGCTGCTCCCCTCAGCAGTGTACTTTGTCGATCTGCTTGTTCTGCTCCCCACTCTGTCTCTGGTAAATTCTCTCATCACCCCTGCACCTCTGTCCTGCACTCCAGTTCTGTATGCATAAATAAATACATCTTTAAAAAAAAATTAGGTTGGGAGAGAAGTAAAGCTTGTTTGGAGACTGGTCACAACTTCCTCTATAGCCTCCATCCTGCACCTTGGAGTGGGAGGGGGACTTACACCAAAATCTCTGCTTTGACTTTTCATATATGTTTCATGTTCCAAAACTGTCTCTTCCTGTCACTCACTCTGTAAATGCCTTTTAGCCTCATCCAGACAGTGCAGTTGACCCTTGAACAACATAGCACTGGTTGTGCGGAGCACCAACCCTCCACACAATCGAAAATCCATGTATAATTTCTGATACCACCCCAAAAAAACTTTAATAGTCTACTGTTGAGTTTTACCGATAATATGAAGAAACAACTAATCTGTATTTTGTATGTTACATGTATTATTATATTGTTTTCCTACAACAAAATAAATTAAAGTTTTTAAGAAAATCATAAACACTGTAAGTTTATATCCTGTGTACTAACTGCACATGTAAGAAACTCATGTGTAAGTGGGTCCATGTGGTTCCAACCCATGTTGTTCAAGGGTTGACATTTGTTTAGATGTGTAAGTGATGATGTTAGTGACACACACCAGCTACTGTTTGTTTCACACAGCTGGATAGGATCTGATTCACGTTTTTACTTTGGTGTGACCTGTGACAAAGACACACACACCTGTGGGCACACAAGCATACCCTGAGACTGACCCACGACCTCCCACTGCCTCGCCCTTTGGCCCAGAAGGAGAATCTCTACCGCGCCACTGAGCCTCCCTCACACGGCATTCAGCAGGAGCCAGGGAAGAGCCCATGTCTGCTGTCATTGGTTTAATAAGCATAAGAACATTATGGCTTAGACACGCTGAACCAGGCATTCCTCCCGGTCCCATAGCAGGCCACAAAGGTTAAGTACTACTCTAATGGCATGACGGAAGTAGACACTGGAACATCTATTTCTGAGGCAGGGGCATTTGGGCATCTCATCCAACTCATAGTTGGGAAATGGCTTCAGACCCAAGTAGTCAAGTGCCACACCTCTTTGCTTACCCTCTTCTCTACCACCCTGACCCCCTGAAGTGCATACAGCAATTGTCCACATGCAAGGTGCAGCCCATTCCCCAGCAGGTCTCTCACAGTGGTGGAGCCGTGAGAGGGTATGTCTCCCATCCTGGAAAAAGAGGATGATCTAGCTCCTTCTATGGGCTGCACAGAACTGTTTCTCATCAGCTGCAGCCAATTTGCTCAGCTGGCCCCTTCTCTTTTCCAGTCTAACTAATTAATCACACTTCTTCTAAGTTCCAAGGAACTCTAGTATCAACAAAATAAAAATACTTCTCCAAGCTAAAGGCCATCTTGGTAAGGATTAGCAGCACAACTTTGGGAAATTTACTACCACCTGGAAAATTATGGCAAAAATCAATTAAGCAAATAGTGCCCCCTGGAGTTGTACAGTTAACCAACAGGAAGTAACAAGACCTGCTTAGTCAGTTTGCCAACAGTCTGGGGACCAAAGGAAGTGTTGGTGCATGAGGCATATAAAACAAACCCTGAGAGGTTATCCTGGGATTTCTCAGGCTACCATGACTGATAACTAGTCCCACAGGTATCTGTATTTTAAAACAGAAGATTATTAACCTAAATAAATCTCTGATTAATGAAATTTAAAGCAGTGTGGCAAGAGTGCTGGGAAGAATATCATGCAGGGTGAGCATACTTTTGGTCAGTGATATCTTACAGCAACTCCTTTGCAAAATAATGAGTGTTTCTCCAGACATCTACAGTTAAAGCACCTTTATGGAGGATATCACATTTGAACTACATAATAACTCTCAGAAATAGTAACAACAGTCTCCATTTTGAAGATGAGAGAATAACAGAGGAAGTAGTTTAATGCCTTTTACATGCCTGAAACTGTGTTAAGTTCTTTATATTCATGTTCTTACTCAGTCTCCATGAGATTTAGGTATCATCCTCCTGTTTCAGGTGTACAAAAGAAGACTAAGAGACTCTGTTTTGCCCAAGTCACTCAGCTGACAAGGGTCAGAGTCAGGACTTGCACTCAGGTCTGACTCTCTCCATGACTTCTATCTTGTAGCAAACCTGGTCCTAAAGCTGACCCCCAGCTGTGGGGAGGAAAAGCCCACATTTATTGAGCCCATTATTTACTAAAAACTTGACAAATTATCATGTGTACTCTTAACAACAACCATCTAAAGTAGGCATTATCTCCCCATACTGAATGAAAGAAAGTAAGTGATAGTCAAGATAGAAACCCTAGCCTTTTAGCTCCCAAAATTGTGTTCTTTCTATAACACAGGATCTGAGGGAAACTTTTTGGTACCTCCTAAAACTGGCTCCATGGGGTGCTGTTAACACAAGCACATGTACCTTTAGGGAGGCTGAGGACACTTGTCTGCCTGAGTCTCTCTCTTCCTCAGTGATAACAACTTTGTCCTTCCTGTACAGGTGAGCATCTCCACTGTGGGCTATGGAGACATGTACCCAGAGACCCACCTGGGCAGACTCTTTGCCTTCCTCTGCATTGCTTTTGGGATTATCCTCAATGGGATGCCCATTTCCATCCTCTACAACAAGTTCTCTGATTACTACAGCAAGCTCAAGGCTTATGAGTATACCACGATACGAAGGGAAAGGGGAAATGTAGAGTTCATGCAGAGAGCCAGAAAGAAGATGGCAGAGTGTTTGGCTGGAAGCAGCCCATAAGCCCACCCAAGACAGCAGAATGAATATTTTCTGCATGTAGCTGGTGGGTCCATTGTAAGGCTCCATTCCTCCTTGCAATTTTTATTATTAAGACTGGCAGTGAAAGGGCCTGTGAAGCAGACACACACACAGGACATTTGCTTCACAAAGATCATTTTGGCCTGAACTTGGACTGTTTCCTAGTGCTCAACTCTGTATGTTGTGTGGGTGTCTATGCTCTCCAGGACGCTGATTTTGAATACTCTTTTAGAGGCGCAGCATCTTACATTTCTGTTGTAGCTTCTCGTGGCTTCACAATATCTGGACTCAAGTTAAGAAGAATTTCCTCACTTAAAAAAAAAACAACAACAAAAAAAACAGCTCCTTAATTTTCTGGAGAGGGGACTAGCAGGAGCCACACAAGCCCCAGACTTAAACCATCAGTCAGAATTCCAGAAGCACCAGCTATGCAATATAAGGCAAGTTACTTCAACTGTTCAAATCTCAGTGTCTTCAACTGCAAATATGGATAAGAAGACCTACCTTGCAATAGGAGCATGGGGATGGGATATAATATATGTAAATGTTCAATAAATTGCAGCTGTTAAAATTGTTTGAGTGGAAATTGTATAATAGTAGATTCTCCAGGACATTGGTTCTCAACTGATTTATTGCCCCTCTCCCACCCTGCAATCCCACTCCCACCCCATCTCCAGCACACTTGGCAATGTCTAGAGGTGTCTTGATGGTCATGCCAGGAGAGAGAATGAGGGGAACAGGGCATCTAAGAGACTTGGGTGCTACAGAACACACACAGGACAGCCCCATAACAAAGCATTATCTCATTTAAAATGTCATTAGTGGCCCTCCCTGGTGGCGCAGCGGGTTAAAGCACTGTACTAAGAAGCTTAAGCCACTTCCGCATGAGTTCAATTCCCGCCTGCCCGGAAGGTGATCCACATGGCGTGGCAGACCTCTCCTCGCCTGCCCGCTGCTCCCCTGAGCAGTGTACTTCGTCGATCTGCCTGTTCTGCTCCCCACTCTGTCCCTGGTGAATCCTCTCCCCCTCTGCATCTCTGGGCTGTACTCCAGTTCTGTATGAATAAATAAAATCTTTAAAAAATAAAAAATAAAATGTCATTAGTGCCGAAGTTGAGAAATCCCGAGACAAGATGAAAATCTCCCTCCCCCGCCTTGACCTATAAAACATGCCAAAGAATGCTAGTCCCTTCCCTTGATTGCAGTCCTATGTGTCCTTTCCAGGAGATAAAAAGAAACCAAGACTACCTTTTGGGCAACAGTTCTGCATGAAGCACTAAACAAAGGGAACTAAACTGACTTCGCCCTCTGTATGGGCGTCACTGGCCCTGTGGACTAGACCAGTTATCACAGCAGGTCATCCTCAGTCCTCTCTCTCTCTGCCCCTGCCTCCTCTTAATCCCTTTCTCCATAAAACTACTGGAAATTGAAGTCATAGCATGTAAGGCTCTTTGTTGCTAATAAGCAAATTACCCCCATAGCTGGTGCCTGTCATATTGAGCATCAGCTATGTCTCAGGGAATAAAGAGATTTATACTCGTGTCATATAAATAAGGGCAATCATTTTGTGCTTTCTTAAAAAGGCACTGTGGGATGCATTTTACACTATTTAACATCATCTAATCCTTCATATATCCCAAAATAAGGCATGAGGTTCCTTTTTCATTTAGGAAGAAACTCACTCAGAAAGTAATCTAGCTAAGTTCGCACAGCCAATAATGGTGGGACTGGGCTTCAAGCCCATGTCTGTCTAATCCCTAAGACTCCACTCAAACGCTAAAGCTTGTATTTCAGCATCATTATGAGAACCCTGGTTAAATCACTTCCTTCTCATGAGGAGGTATGATTATAAAACCAGGGTGCAGCTGGCAAAACTAGATCTAGATCACTCTTCCCTTTACTTTAAGAATCCTTAATATCATCATCAAAGACCTGGTAGATGAATGGTCAACAGAAGCCCTACTATTGTTAAGGTTGCTAAATAAAATACAGGATGCCCCAGGTCAATTTGAATTTCAGATAAACAACAAATAATTTTAATATAAGTGGATGCTACATATTACATGGTATATACTTCTGCTGAAAAATAACTCATGCACCGGTCACTCAAATTGAACTGGGCATCCTGTGTTTCCTCTGTTAAATCCAACAACGTTATACTTGCCTTGGAGGGACCTAATTTCCTCCTAAGGAGGAAATTACCCCTAAGTTCTAAAACCCTATCCAAACAGCAAGGTCCCACAGCCCTGGGGAAGTTCTCTCTCCTCTTGCCAAATGAAAGGAGGAGGAATTTCAAATCAGGCTCTTTGCCAGAAACAATCATGAAAACAGAGTCACAACATGCAGGAGGTCAGAGCACCATCTGACAGCCTCAATGCAGCAGCCACTCCTTCTAGTCACCTCCAGCCTCCTGCTCCTTTTGAGGTCTTGAGGAAGGCGGTTGTTGATGAAACGCATCTGCTGAGCTGGGAAGCACGCAGGGAATAGGAAGGCTAGCGTCCCTCACCCCACCCTCTGCCAGACACCCAGAGAGATCGGTGACCTGCCCAGCTGGAGAGACTCACAGAGAGAGGGGTCAAGTCCAGCAGGGGAAAGGGTCTGGAGGTCTCGGTGGGGAGATGAACTTTTCCAGATCCCTGGGAGAGGATCTGGGCCTTTCCCCTCATTCCCACTGGTCACATCTGCTCAAACAGCTGTGCTTTGCCTCCCAAGAGAGTGAGACTAACAGAAAGGAGTTAAAACTGAAAGAACTGCTATTCCTGAGCCTCGCTGTGCAGCAGGCACAGAATGTACCTTATTTCACTTTAGTCCTTTAGTAGTCCTGTGAAATATTAAAGTGGGGTCACTTATGTGGAGAAGCTCAGCTTTGCTGATCTTGACACGGCCTTAGAATTTAGGTTTGAAACCTGGTTTTGACCAGTCCTAGGAGGTTGAACTATATGAAATTCACCATTTTCATTAAAAATATCTGCATAATGGCAATTTCATGTGATAACCTAATAGCTGAGTGGTCAGTTAACATCTCTCTCAGCTTTTACATAGTTAAAATGGAGCTAATACTAGTGTCTTTCTCAAGTTAGTGGTAGTAATTAAATGACAATGTATTACTAGACTTTGGTGCGTGTTTGGGATGTTGAGAACTAAATAATTGTGGGATGGAGTTATCATCGTCGTCATGATTACTATTTTGCTGAAGAACAAGAAAGCTGCACACGGCCCTACAGAGTTATCAGTCATCAAAGAAAGGTGTCTGTAAGTAAAGATATCTTTTGAATCCCGTTGCCAGCACCCAGCCATCCACTGCCACACACAAGGACCTAGGCCAGTGAGTCCCACAGAAATCCCTGCAATGGTGACTATCCTGTCTGAGGTCTTATATGGTAACCACGTGTGGCCACTGAGCACTTCAACTGTGTGCAGTAGTGTTACTTGCGAATTACATTTTAAATTTTACTGAGTGTTCTTAAATATTATTTTAAATGTAAATGGCCACATGCAGCTAGAGGCCACCATATTGGGCAACACCGTGGTAGCTCTTTCTTCTGCCTGTATGGGAGCATCTGTTGAGATGAGGAGGAATGACTGACTGACTCTTTGGGGTGAGAGGGACCCAGAAAAGTAGAAAATTTGACAATCCCCCTGTTGTGGCCCAGAAAGTGGAATGGCTTCCCAGGGCAACACGGATAATTTTAGATTGGCAGACTGGCATGATCTCTTTCATTAGAGAGAAAAGACAAAAATCTCCAAAGCCTATGCAACAATAAAAAGGGCTGTGCCCATCATTTGTCTTCACCCTAGGACGTTTTGGGTTCCCTCCCTCATGCCAGCCTAACTCCATACAGTATCTTCTTAAGTCTATACCGCAAATGGGCTCAAAAACAACTCGGTTAAAGTACAGAACTAAGAAGCTAAAGCCACTTTAGCATGAGTTCCATCCCTGCCCCAGAGGTGACCCACATGGCATGGCAGACCTCTCCTGACCCACCTGCTGCTCCCCTCAGTGGTGTACTTCATCAGTCCACCTGTTCTGCTCCCCTTTCTGTCTCTGATGAAGCCTCTCACTGCCCCTGCACCTCTGGCCTATAACCCAGTTCTGTATGTATAAATAAATAAATCTTTAAAAAAACAAAAACACTTCCCTTGTTTTATTCCAGCTTTAAAGTTATGAGCAGACATGTTCACAAGAAATCTTTCTTAAAACGAAGGGAAACACCTAAAAAACAAACATTTTCCTAAAGATTCTAGATCCAGGAAAGCAGGTGTAGGTTTTGCTGAGCTTCACAGTCCCTTCTCCCAATGATGCCCTGACCCCCAAACCAGGTCCCCACTGTGGTCCTCTACAGCTCAATGCTGTTCCTTGTTCTCCTTTGATAACAGCTTTAAAACGCATGCTCATGATGCAATAGTTTCTCACTCTTGTGTGCTGTGCCTCCCCCCTATCCCTCTAGAGTCCTGCTTCACCTTTCTCTGTGCTGTGCTGCCATGGGGCCCAAGGAGGTGGTCTCCCATGTCTACATGTGCCAGGCTCACCTAGCCTCTGAGGGATTACCAGCAGATGAGAGCAGGAACCTGCTGGGAATTTGCTCTCCCCTCCACCTGAGTAGCAGTAGCCTGAGCAGTGTTGAGTTTCTTCTTGTCTGATCACCATGCTCCTAGGTTCTAGTCACACCTTCCCCTTCGGGTGCCCCTTCAAATTTAGGAGTGGTTATAGCCTCCTGCTGCTTCTCTCATTGAGTATCTAACTACATTCTGTTGGTTCCCTGAATCCTGACTACATGATTATAAATAGATTCTTTATTAAAGAGAATTTTTATTAAAGTCACTTCAAATAAACCCTTTGGGTACGGCATCTGTTACCCACTGGGCTTATAATTAGTGCACCTTATCTACTTTAAGAAAAATATATTGCTCATATTCCCTAGGTCACCACTGGAAAGATGAGGCATGCTTGTCTGAGGATTCACGCCTATCCAATTTATTGC